GGGAACAGACAAGTTGCTGTCCTTTTGTTCTTCAGTCTAGTTGTGGAGGACGTTGCTTCACTGGCCCATGTTGGTATTATCATTGCGCACTTCCCAGGTGAGGCAATTGCTTGCTGGCCATTGGACAGCCACTCACGGCGGCTCACGGCAGCTCCCGAAAGCTCACACCAGCTGCTGGCCAGCCCCACTGCAGCCTACGCTGTTGCCAGCGACTCACAGCAGCCCAGCTCCAAGTCGAGCTGTTGTTTACCATCTTAGCTGTAGTGGGCGCAGTGTCACTGGCCCTTATGTGGGATCTGAACCGGGGCCCTGCTGCTCAGAGCTGGTGTCCCAAGCCAAATCCTAATGAATGCACCACTCGGCCGGCCCTGACTTAATGTTTTAAAGGATCATCTGACTTCAGTTGTCGTCAGTAGAGTACAGCGGGTCCTCCAATATGTCGTTTTGTTCAACATTGTTTTTACAATGTTGATGAGAAAAAGAATTGAACCCTGGCCAGGACCACCGTCTGTGTGTAGTTTGCATGTTCTCCCCATGTCTGGGTGGGTTTTCTCCAGGGACTCCAGTTTTTTCCCACGTCCCAGAGATGTGCAGTTAGGTGAATTGGTGTGTCGAAATGTCCCAGCCTGAGTGAGTATGGGTAGGTGTGTGTGGCCTTGGGATGGAAGGGCGTTCTGTTCAGGGTTGGTTCTTTCCTGCCTTGTACCCTGAGCTGCCGGGATAGACTCTGGCACCCACGAGCCTGACTGAACTGGAATAAGGAGGTTGGAATATAATTATCTTACTTGTTTTTATTAATCTTTCTTAAATGTATGTATAGCTCACATTTATTTCAATGTTTAACATTAAAGGTGTTTTGGGTTTTTAGAAGTTTAGTGATGTTTTGTGACCAGAAATATGCCCTAGGAACTTAACTCTTGTTTATATCAATTGGCCTATGGTAAAATTGGTTTTGTTATAGTTATTTTTCTAAAGTTGCAGTTTCCAAGAACCTATTGATGACATTAAGTGAAGATTTACTGTATAGGGATACAGGAATACCAAGTGGTAGCCTCACAGGTGGGGAGAAGTGGTTGGATTTTGGATATGTTTAGTAGGTAGAGGATTTGCTGATAGATTGGATCTGGGGTTTGAGAAAACCAAAGGTGTCTACTAGAAGGATTGAGTTGCCCTTTATTGAAATGAATAAGACTGGGAGGAAGAGTATTTGGAAAAAAGCTCAGTTCTGAACGTGTTTGGTTTAAGATGCCAGTAGACACCCATGAGAAGATGTTGAGTAGGCAGTTGGATATTACAACTTAGAATGCAGGAGATAGGTCTGGGCTGGAAATATAAAATTTGGAGTTGTTAGAATATTAGTGGCCTTTTAAAACCATAAAAATGGTTTAGATCCTTTCGGAGTTCGTAAGTGTGGTGATTGGGTGTTCATGCTTGTGTGTGAGATGTGCCTCCCACAAACCTTGTTACAACATTGGCACATTACCCGTCTGACATGAAAAAAAAAATGGTTGAGATTGTAAGATTGTGCAGTATGACACTGCACAGGTCATTGGTGACTCTCCTAAGAGCAATGAAAGTTGACTTAGTGTGAGTTAGAAAAAGAACAGGCAGAGGGGATTGGAAGCAGCTGATATAGACCAGAGCTTCTCAAACTTTCACATATACAAATCAGCTGGAGATTATATATATATATATATATATGTATATATATATATATATGTGTGTGTGTGTGTGTGTGTGTGTGTATATATATATATATATATAT